TGGGTTTCCTCCAGGTGCTCTGACATGTTCTCCCTGTGTCAGCGTGGGTTTCCTCCAGGTGCTCTGACATGTTCTCCCTGTGTCAGTGTGGGTTTCCTCCAGGTGCTCTGACATGTTCTCCCTGTGTCAGCGTGGGTTTCCTCCAGGTGCTCCAGCTTCCTCCCACTGTCCAAAGACATGCAGGTTAATTGGTGACTCTAAATTGTCCGTAGGTGTGAATGTGAGTGTAAATGGTTGTCTGTCTCTATGTGTCAGTCCTGTGATAGTCTGGTGACCTGTCCAGGGTGAACCCCACCTCTCGCCCAGTGTCAGCTGGGATAGGCTCCACCCCCCTGTGACAGGATAAGTGATGTCATTAGCATGACATCAGTTAGGGGGCGATCACACAGAAATGAGACGATAGAAACGCGGACGCTTCAAAGACGTTTGAAACACTGGAAGCGCTTATTCAATGCGCGCTCGCTACTGGCGTCTGACGCTCAAAAAGTTGAAAGTATTTCAACTTTTCAGCGTCTACGCGCGTGTAAAAAGAAGCGTCTACAAAAACGCCGTCTAAAAAGACGCTTGAACGCCGGTCAGACGCGCCGTATCATAAGAAAACAATGGTTTTACTGGCGTCGTGTTTCAAGCGTTTCATCTCGGTGTGATCGCCATCTTAAAGCTGTCGGTCGGTTACACGCCTCATGATGGCGTGACCTTCAGAGAGCTGAGGTGTAAAGTGAGTTTGGTCGCAGGTGGTCACCGCCCTGACCTCCACAACCTGTCTGGGGGTCAGTTGCATTGTAGGTAATGTGTGTGTTTGGCGTTCAGACGTGTTGGCGGTCACTCGGCGCTCAGACTTTGATGCTGCTGCTTTTCGTTCCTCTTCTTCTCTTGTTTGCTGGCGTCATTGCCATCTGGGTCATCTGAGGTGACCTGGGGACCAGTGACAGCCAGTTCGTCTGCTGCGGCGGCACCGTCCTCTGCGTCCTCGGCGTCAGTGGTGGTGGTGGCGTCTCTTGGACTGCGGCCACCCTGACGCTGTTCTTCCCATACAGCCTCCTCTCGTACTGCAGCAGCTGCTCCCAGAAGCCAGCGTTCAGCCTGACGAAGGGCCGGCTGTCCTGGACCCAGCGGTGGGCCTGGCAGAGGGTCACCCCTCGGTACCGCATCAGGTACGCCATCACCAACGCCGGCGAGCGACTCATACCAACAACACAGTGCACCAGAGTGCCCCCTGCACGGTTACCATGGATACGCTCGGCCACACGGTCAAAGTGGTCTCCGAGGCGAGCGCTGGGCAGGTCAGAGACAGGAACACGCACACACTCCACCCCTGGGTAGGCGGGACAGGTGTGGCTGAGTGTGGCGTTGACGATCAGTGTGATGCCCTTCTGTGACATCAGTGCAGCGTTGAGGGGGGCGTCGGCCCCACTGAGGAACAGGGTGGGAGTGATCTGAGACACCGACATGACCTGTCAGGAAACACGTCAGCGTTAACATGAGGACCAACAGCTGTCAGCCTAGCTTAGCATAAAGACTGGAAACAAGGGGAAGCTGTTAGCCTAGCTTAGCATAAAGACTGGAAACAAGGGAAAACTGTTAGCTTAGCTTAGCATAAAGACTGAAAAACAGGTAAGGTGAGGTAACTTTATTAGTACCCGAGGGTAGATTTGGTTTGCAGTTAGGTTAGGTGAGTCAGCTGCTTTCACACAGACAACAATTAGGACAAAGATATAAGACAGTGACAACACAGTGACAACAGTGCTTCAGACTAAGAGACAGGTACAAATATACAAAAAACAGAGTAAAAAACCATCATGGCAGATACAAAAACAATAAATAGAATAAAAAGGCCGTAGAGTCAATAAATTTAAGTTTAGTCAATAAAAGATTACTATGTCTTATTTAACATTCTAATGGACGCGGGCACAAAGTTGTCCCTATATCGTTTAGTTTAGCAGACAGGCACTTTGTATCTGCGACCTGATGGAAGGGGCTGAAATTCGCCATATAGTGGGTGGGAGCCATCTTCTAGAATGCACCCAGCTAGCCTCTGTAACTGCTTGGTGTATAAGGATTCAGGGATCAGCTGTGGCTCTCCTATCAGCCTACTAGCCCACCTCACAATTTGGTTCAGGGAGTTCTTATTTTTTAGGGATAGGTTGCTGAGCCAAGACACTAGGCTAAAGGATGGATTCAATAAAAGAGCGGTAGAATAGGGGAAACTGTTAGCCTAGCTTAGCTCAAAGACTAGAAACAAGGGGAAGCTGTTAGCCTAGCGTAGCACAAGAACTGAAAACAGAATTTAGAATAGAATAGAATAAAGTGATTTTGATGAAGTTTTACTATTTTAAGCTTAGATTTATTTATTTTTTAAAAAATCGATTCACACGTGATGTGTTCAAGGACCGGCAGAAATGTAAAAATCAAATGAAAATTTCTGTTTTAACAGTTTCTGTCGTTGATAAATGGTGTCACTGCAAGGTATCATTAAAAATCGCCAAAATCTGGAGGGAAAGAAAACACGCTGGGAGGCACGTCTTCTTTAAAAATTGGTAGTAAGAAATACAAAAATGTAAATCTGTATATCCCTCTCCTAAACCAGTCCCCCAGTGGTTAAAAAATGATTTTGACATGCCCCAAAAATTAACAGTCCCAGTTTTCCCCTGCTTCCAGTCTCTGTGCTAAACTATGCTAAAAGTTTCCCCTTGTTTCCAGTCTTTGTGCTAAGCTAAGCTAACAGTTTCTCCTTGTTTCCAGTCTCTGTGCTAAGCTAACAGTTTCTCCTTGTTTCCAGTCTTTGTGCTAAGCTAGGCTAACAGTTTCCCCTTGTTTCCAGTCTTTGTGCTAAGCTAAGCTAACAGTTTCTCCTTGTTCCCAGTCTCTGTGCTAAGCTAACAGTTTCTCCTTGTTTCCAGTCTCTGTGCTAAGCTAACAGTTTCTCCTTGTTTCCAGTCTTTGTGCTAAGCTAAGCTAACAGTTTCTCCTTGTTCCCAGTCTCTAAGCTAAGCTAACAGTTTCTCCTTGTTCCCAGTCTCTGTGCTAAGCTAACAGTTTCTCCTTGTTTCCAGTCTCTGTGCTAAGCTAACAGTTTCCCCTTGTTTCCAGTCTCTGTGCTAAGCTAAGCTAACAGTTTCTCCTTGTTCCCAGTCTCTGTGCTAAGCTAACAGTTTCTCCTTGTTTCCAGTCTCTGTGCTAAGCTAACAGTTTCTCCTTGTTCCCAGTCTCTGTGCTAAGCTAGGCTAACAGTTTCCCCTTGTTTCCAGTCTCTGTGCTAAGCTAGGCTAACAATTTCCCCTTGTTTCCAGTCTTTGTGCTAAGCTAAGCTAAGCTAACAGTTTCTCCTTGTTCCCAGTCTCTGTGCTAAGCTAGGCTAACAGTTTCTCCTTGTTTCCAGTCTCTGTGCTAAGCTAAGCTAACAGTTTCTCCTTGTTCCCAGTCTCTGTGCTAAGCTAACAGTTTCTCCTTGTTTCCAGTCTCTGTGCTAAGCTAACAGTTTCTCCTTGTTCCCAGTCTCTGTGCTAAGCTAAGCTAACAGTTTCTCCTTGTTCCCAGTCTCTGTGCTAAGCTAAGCTAACAGTTTCTCCTTGTTCCCAGTCTCTGTGCTAAGCTAACAGTTTCTCCTTGTTTCCAGTCTCTGTGCTAAGCTAACAGTTTCTCCTTGTTCCCAGTCTCTGTGCTAAGCTAGGCTAACAGTTTCCCCTCCCCTTGTTTCCAGTCTTTGTGCTAAGCTAAGCTAAGCTAACAGTTTCTCCTTGTTCCCAGTCTCTGTGCTAAGCTAACAGTTTCTCCTTGTTTCCAGTCTCTGTGCTAAGCTAACAGTTTCTCCTTGTTCCCAGTCTCTGTGCTAAGCTAGGCTAACAGTTTCCCCTCCCCTTGTTTCCAGTCTTTGTGCTAAGCTAAGCTAAGCTAACAGTTTCTCCTTGTTCCCAGTCTCTGTGCTAAGCTAACAGTTTCTCCTTGTTTCCAGTCTCTGTGCTAAGCTAACAGTTTCTCCTTGTTCCCAGTCTCTGTGCTAAGCTAGGCTAACAGTTTCCCCTTGTTTCCAGTCTCTGTGCTAAGCTAGGCTAACAATTTCCCCTTGTTTCCAGTCTTTGTGCTAAGCTAAGCTAAGCTAACAGTTTCTCCTTGTTCCCAGTCTCTGTGCTAAGCTAGGCTAACAGTTTCTCCTTGTTTCCAGTCTCTGTGCTAAGCTAGGCTAACCACACCCTGCTGCACACCTCAGATGTTTGGCAGAAACACACCAGCAGGCTGACACATCATCATGTTTGGTTAATGAGTTAATGTGAGTGTGTTACCTGCTGCTGGTCAGATCCTTCTCTTTGGTTTCTGTTGTTTCCTCCTCTGATGACTGCTCTGAATGAACACACACACACACACACACACACACACACACACACACATTGAAGATACCATAGAAGGTTGTGTGTGTCAGTCAGCCAGCCAATGAACTGAAGGGTTAATTTTAGTCTGACAGCTGAAAACTGCTCCTGAAGTCACGTGACTTTCATCACACACACTCCTCTTTACTGTGAACTCTTCATGTTTTATTGATTAGAATCAATTTATCATTGAACACAGAAAATTATTAAATTGTTTTAAAATACGTCAAATGTATTATATGTGATAGAGTATGAGATAAATGGAGATGGGCTGTCAGACGATGATGATGATGATTATGATGATGATGATGATTAAACACGTGAAATTATGTTTTGTTCCTATTACAGTGCTCAGTATTTATCAATTGTCAATATAAGGAGTTTTATTTCATAGTTGGGCACAAATATTCATTTTATTTTTAGAAATATAAATACATGTGTAGCATGACACTGTAAGACACAATATATACAGTAATAAATACAGTGTGTGTGTGTTAAATTTACACTCAAGAGGGACGAATTTTGCAGAGTTGAATATTTGCACCGATTATTGTGTTAAAGAGACTTTGTACCTTTAAAGTCTCTGTTGAACGGTTACAATACGACATGAAGTGTAATTAAATATATTTAATGTGTACAGATATAATATAAAATAAAGAGAGACACTGATGATGGTGATGATGATGATGATGATGATCATGATGTTCAGTACATTTCATTAAAATATAATAACTAGTCCATTGAGTACAGCATACCATACCATGACTTAGTCATACCAAACATTAGAAAACAACACCAACATTGGTCCACAGGGGGAGCCACAGCGATCGGTCACATTTTAGCCATTTTGAAGCATTTTTCTGTTGTTATAGCGCCACCCAGTTGCCAATTAGAGTTAAATTTCTCCAGTCACCTTGAGGCGTCCTGTTCTACATATCTACCAAGTTTAGTAAAAATCCATATGGCGGTTAGGCCTAGATAAGAAATGAGCTCTCTAGCGCCCCCATTTTGTTTGATGGGGTCAATAATGGAGGGGTCCCCTCAGATTATGTGTGGTCATATGCCTACAAAGTTGCGTGGTGATGGGTGAAACCCTTGAGATGTTATACACCTTTATGTGATGAGCCACGCCCTCCGCAATATTCATTGCCTTATAGAAGCTCAGTTTTAGTAAGTTTTCCAACTTTTGCCAAGAGGGAACTTTAGATATTGGTCCCTAGATTATGTTCACCCAGTTTCATGCAGATCGCTCAAACTTCCTAGGAAGAGATCCATTTGAAGTGTTTTTCAAAAAATTCAAAATGGCGGAAAATCTATATAAGCGGAAGTTATGGGTTCTTGAGGCAAATGTGTTCCTCATGAGGAGAGGCATCTCTGTGCAAAGTTTCATGTCTCTACGACATACGGGGCATGAGATATGCCCATTCAAAGTTTGACATTTCAATGGGTTGCTATAGCGCCCCCCTTTGGCCAATTGATGTAATATTGCTTCATTGGCATCCTCCCATGACCCTCTACCACTGTGCCAAATTTCACATGGATTGACCAAGTCAGTGAGGAGAAAAACGTGGAACACACACACACAGAGTTTATATAGTAAGATAATAATGATGATGTCGTCCTGTTGGGGGCAGTGTGTGTGTGTGTGTGTGTGTGTGTGTGTGTGTGTGTGTGTGTGTGTGTGTGTGTGTGTGTGTGTGGCTGCCGGAAGTTGAGAGGAAGCTGCAGCAGCAGAAGAAGAGCAGCTAGCTAACTGTTAGCCTGTTAGCTTCCTCCGTCATGGCGGAACTGAACCGACAGCTTCAGGAGTATTTGGCTCAGTCCAAAGGCGGCGGCGCTAGGACCATCTCCCAGTCCAGCTCCAGCTGTACGGTGGACCTGGATGACCCGGAGCCGGTACCAGGGAGCTGGTTCGGGCGGTGGTCGAGCCCGTGGTCCGGGAGCCGCGGCGGCAGTCCGTCCGGCCAGAGCTCCGGCGGAAACAGCGGCTTTTCTTGGCCGTGGTCGGCCGAGCCGGACCCGTGCCTGCCGGGCATGAGCCGCCGGCAGCGGCTGGTGGCCTTCGGGGTGTGCGTGTGTTTCTCGGCGCTGTGTTTCGGACTGTCGGCCCTGTACGCCCCGCTGCTGCTGCTCTACGCCCGCAAGTTCGCGCTGCTCTGGTCGCTCGGCTCGCTGTTCGCCATCGCGGCCGCGGCGGTGCTGCGCGGCCCCAGCAGACTCATCGCCGGCCTGCCCACCTCTCCCGGAGCCGCCGTGTACCTGTGCGCCCTCGGAGGGACTCTGTACGCGGCGCTGAGCCTCCACAGCACCGTGCTGACCGCGCTGGGTGCCGCCCTGCAGGTCACCGCCATCGTCGGGTACGTGGTGTCGCTGCTGCCCGGGGGCAGCGCCGGGATCCGCTTCATGGGAGGGATGGCGGCTTCTGCCATCAAAAGGACCGTCACCGGGAAAAGCATGCCGATCTGACCGGGGACCGAGCGTCAGAGGCCGGGCACATCTCACAGACAGGGTCCGGGGGCCCCCAGGAGCCGCAGAGGGGTCCCCGTCAGGAAGTGACTGTCGGTACATTCCCTGCAGGCTGAGGCTCACTGACTGATTATTGATTATTGACACGTGCTGCTGCTCACAGGACCAAATAAAGTTTAACATGTTCAAACTGTCAAACTTTATTTTCTCTCATGTTTCTGTGCTGCAGGAAACAGACCACCGTGTGTGACCTCTGACCTCTGAGCTCACTGCAGACACTGCCTGCAGGAAACATTCTCTCTTTGTTTGTTTGTTTGTTTGTCCCCACTGAATTCTGGGATTCACCAGTGTTTCTTATTCCTGCTCCTCTGAGGTCAGAGAACATTTTACTGGAGCTCCAGATGAGACGAAACATCTGTTCGTCCGTCAGCAGGAAACACAAGTTTTATATTTGAACATTTAAAAAATACATGAATTTCAAATAATCTAATTTAATTATCATTTAAAGTAATTCAGGTGATTATATTATTAAATCTGAAGGTTATAAAATAAAACTTTACTGTCTAACCCAGTTACTGAGCTCCTGAGCGTCGCTCTGCTGCAGTGTAACTGAGTAAATAAGTACTGGAGTATTTTAATGACTTGTCCACACCTCAGAGGGAACACTGCGTTTGACTCCTGTGATTTAAAATGAAGATCTTTGCACACAAACCAAATGTAAATATAAAAGTGCAGCTGAAACCATCAGTTGATCGATCAGAACATTAATTGATGACTGGTTTGATCTGTTTCATTTTAATACAAACTCATTTCAAAGCTTCTCAAATATGACGACTTACTTTTTTTCCTTTGAAATAATTTCATTATTTTTACTGATTAAATTTGTTTAAACTTCCTGTGTGAGCAACATTCTTACTGCAGGACTTTAATTAGTAATAGAGTATTTGTATATATGAGTACTTCTACTGCAGTAAAAATGTGAACACTTCATCACTGCGGCTGAGACACAAATATTAAGTTCTTTAAATTTCCAGCAGTGCTGAAGCTCATCAGTCACGTTTTCATGACTGCAGGAACTCGTCTTTGGAGTTACAGCCTTAATGGTGACATCACTCTGGTTCAGTCTTTGCACACGGCACCACACCTGTCCTTTTACAGTGTTCAGGGGGCGTTACCTGTGCTGACAGGTGAGCTGGATCTGAACGTTTAGGAACGTTTGGTGGATCTTCAGAGAGTGTTGCTGCATCAGGCCCCCTGTGCTGCTGAGGGGCCACTGGCTCCCTCACCAGTCCACCCTGTGGTTGTATGACTCCGCCTAGACTCACAAGTCAGTCTTTAGACGCTTTGCTTAACTAAAGACTGATGACTTTCTCCCTGATTTTGTGTTTAGATGGGCGGATACAATTTCAGAGTTTAAAAAACTCCCTACGTTGCAGAACCAGTAGTAAATCTGCAGGGCGGTCCTTCGGTGGCTCGCTGAACTCTTGTGCTCGTAAACATAGTCCCACTAGAAACACGTGTAGCGGTACAAAATGGCTCAGCCGCGCTCGCAGAAAACGCCGTCAAAGTTAGTGGATGTTTGTCGCGTTTGCGGCGACACATTCTCGCCAACTAAAAGAAACAAACATAATCTTTTATAAGGCCATGACTCATCCGTCCAGCCGGACTATAACGTTAGAGGGAATCGCCTTGTTGTTTACAAATACTTCCGGGTAGAAAACCAGCAGAGCTTTTAGCTATATATATATATATATATATATATATATATAGCCTATATATCACATTTTTCACATCACTGTATCACCGTTTGGACTAATCCGATGTTTGTAAAGTCTATAAACACAATGATTGAACAAACATTACTATTTCTGTGTGCACGTTTAGCTGGGCTAACCGTTAGCTGTTAGCCCTGTTAGCCGTTAGCAGTGTCTGTAATAGGTAATAACTCATTAAACGGTCCGTGAAAAAAATGTCTTTTCCAGCGGATATCTTAGTTACAACATGATTGAGCTAGCAAAGCAGTTTTGTGTTGCTATGTGTGGTATTTATTCAGTTTTGGGAAATCACGATGTCTAGAAAGCATCAGTGGCTGCAGCTGACAGGGACAGCTAACAGCAGCAGCAAAGCTAACATCAGGACGTCATCTGTTAAAAGCCTCCCGTTGTCGGATACGACATGAAACTACTCCAGTTAGCTCAATCATGTTGTAACTAAGACATCTGCTGGAAAAAATATTTTCTTCACGAATGAGCACACGTTTGATAAAACGGAGTTAAATCTCTCGGCATCCATTTTCAAGCTCTCTGTGTGTTTGTTTCCTTGCGGACGAGAAAAGGGGGAGCGCACATTTCCGAGAAGGCGTGTCCTTTTCAAAAATGCAAGAGGCGTTGCTTTGTTGCCGGCCGTTTTCGCCGGTGTGTTAAACACACTTTAGAAAGGAGTGTCCCCAGACTATCAGAAGGCGGAGATCTCTGATTGTCTGGTGGTGATGAGACAGACAGACGGACGACCTGCGAACATAATGCCTCTGGTCTCGGCTGTCACCAGCGCCGACACTGCGACATTGATTTATTATTTTTTTGACACTGATATTTCCTGAGACAATCAAACTGTGAAAATGTGAAACACGTTTCTACTCTGACCGTTGGTGTTAAAGTGTCAGAACTGCCAGACGTAATAAAACAAACTGACTTCAGGCTGTTGGTGACGATGTTTCCACTCCAGCACAGAAACATCTGCACATGATTCCAGGATGTTCAGTGATGCTAACGTTTGGTCAGGTGACCCGCGGTGATGACCGCAGGTCACCTGACTAAAGAAGCGTCCACGTGTGGCAGCAAGGGAGTTGAAGTGTGAATCTTTATTGTCCACCTCAGTGAAAACACAAAAACATAGAAATCTTTTACAAAAAGCAACAAGACGAAGTGACTCTGAAATAAAAGAGACGGCTGATGATTCTCTACAGTATTTTACATTAAAATGATCTGAGCCACGGTGAGACGTTCACTTCCTGTCCGTCCTCGCAGCGCCACAGATCTCAATGTGTCACATGACCAAAAGTTCGTCTGGGGGGGTCTCAGGATCGGGACTTGGTCTCAGGTCTGTGGGGGGACCAGCAGGGACCAGACGGCTGGAGGAAGGGACTACCGGCCCCGGACGCCCCCCCTCGGTGGTCCTCTGGGCGCTGGTCCTCCTCTCCTCGGACCCGGTCCAGGTCCAGGTCCTGGTCCAGGTCCTCCTCCAGGACCCCAGCCGCCTCGTCCCCCTCGACCAGAAGGACCGTAACCCCCGTCATCCCTCTGGGGGGGGCGACCTGCAAGGAGGTGATGTGAGGGGAACAAAGTCAGTTCACTCTTCAGATGGACTTTGATCTGATCGTTAAAACTCTTCATACAGACACAGCTCACAGCTCCACATCAAACAACAACAACAAAACAACAACAACAAAACAATAAAGTGACTGGGTAAAGCCCCCACACTGTGACATCACTCCAAATTAAAGCAACACAATGGAGTTTTTGAGCCCTCAAAATATAAAATATATATCCAAGATCCTTGTGATGGTTCAACTCAGTAGGTTGGATGATTCCACCGTCACTGCTGGAGAGTCTGTTTCACTTGTACTGGCTCGATGCAGCGTCAGGGTTCAGGTACGAACCCAGACACAAAAAGGACTACAAAATTTGGCTGCTTTATGGCATACGTTATGTCCCCCCCCCCCGTTATGTCCCCCTCCTCTCTTTAGAGTAGCGTAGCCTACATACAGACAGCTTTCATTTTAGTTTGTCTTTAACACTTTGCTGTTAGCATCGCGAGCGCCATGTGCTTGTGTCGACCGTGATTGTAAATCATAATCGCGGTGAATGAGAGACTGTGGACAGAGCAGACTGAAATATGGCTTTCTACATGCTGATCACATGTATTGATAAAGTATTGGCTTGGCTGGCAGAGGTTTTATCGCACTTATTCACAGTAACAAGCGTAGCTGTAGTTAACTAGAGTAATCTTGAAGTTATATTCCCTTCATCTGCACCGCGGCCTCTCTGCTGTTGTCTGACTTCACTCTCTCAGTTTGTGTATGTGTGTGCTGTGAGGAGGAGGTCAGCCCTGACATGCAGAGAGCAACTCATTTGTGTGTTGGCCTCATCATGTATGTACAGAATACTATGAGGCTGCTTTACCTGTGCTGAAGACATGATGATGGCGCACTACACGGCCAGCTTCAGGAAGTTCACCGGCATCGTTGGCTTGTCAACAAATGCACACGCAGAAAGATTTTTGCGACAGTTGTAACAGACAATACCGTTTGCCGTCTGTAGGAGGAGCCCGTGAGGTGAAAAGTGCAATCCCCCATTGTGTTGCTTTAAAAGGCAGATCAAAAAGACATAGCTCTAACTCATTACAGTGTTTGTGTTTTGTCCTGTTGGTGGCGCCGTAGTGACGGACGTCCCTCTGATGTTGGTTCGCTGTGTTCTCACCTCCGTCAGCTCCGGGGGACTCTCGCTCTCGGAGGTCTCCGGCTCCCGGTCCGTCCTGCCACGGACGCTTCCGCGGGGGCAGAGACGCCATGTCCATCCCCTGCAGAGAAGAGGAGCGCTCACGCCCCGCCGGAGACGACCCATCATGCATCTGCTGACCATCCCGATAACCATCGTGACCTACGGATAGGAGCAGAACAGACTTTACTGTCGACGTGCGGCAACAAGATGAGGAACAGAGAGTGAGACAGTGAGACAGAGTGAGACAGTGAAACAGAGAGTGAGACAGTGAAACAGAATGAGACAGTGAAACCGAGTTAGACAGAGAGACGGTGAAACAGAGTGAGACAGAGAGTGAGACAGTGAAACAGTGAGACAGAGAGTGAGACAGTGAAAGAGAGTGAGACAGTGAAACAGAGTGAGAGTGAAACAGAGTGAGACAGTGAAACAGAAAGTGAGACAGTGAAACCGAGTTAGACAGTGAAACAGTGAGTGAGACAGTGGGACAGTGACACAGAGTGAGACAGTGAGACAGAGAGACAGTGAAACAGAGTGAGACAGTGAAAGAGTGAGACAGAGAGACGGTGAAACAGAGTGAGACAG